CCCCCCCCCCCCCCCCGCCCCCGACCTGTCAATCAATCCAATAGGCGTGTCAGCAAATGACCAATTGGTGACCTCAATTTGCCCCGAAGGTAAACGCCCCTTGTCTGTGAAGCTGCTCTGCAGCTGCTCGGGGTGTACCCTGGAGTATGAAGTCTGAACCCGCTGTGTACAGTACACGCGTACGTACGCGTGAACGGACGTACGCGGCAGTATACTGGGGGCTTAAGGAGGGAGAGAAGGACTTGTACCGATTAACGAGACAGAGGGATCAGGTTGGAAAGGATGTGCAGCAGGTTAGGCTTGTTAAAGATAGGAATGGTAATGTTCTAACAAGTGAGAAGAGTGTGATGGGGAGATAGAAGGAGTACTTTGAGGTGCTAATGAATGAAAAGAATGAAAGGGAAAGAAGAATAGAGGTCATAGAAACTGTGGACCAAGAAATGAATAAGATTAGTGAGGGTGAAGTTTGCAAAGCTCTGAACAGAATAAAGTAGGGGAAGTCAGTAGGATCTGATGATATACCAGTGGAGGTTTGGAAATGCCTTGGAGAGATGGCAGTAAGGTTTTTTACTCAAATATTCAATGGTATATTTGATGGTGATAAATCCTTGAGGAATGGAGAAGAAGTGTGCTGGTGGTCATTTTTAAGAACAATAGTGATGTACAAAGTTGTTGTAATGGTCAGTGGCCCCTGTTGACCCCTCATCTGCTCACATCATTACTCCTCATGCCATGTTTCTGCCCGTGCTGTTTTCATGTTCTTTGTTCTCCTGCCCATGTCACCTGCCATAGTTTCTGTTTCCCTGTTGTGTTTTGTCTATCACCCATCCTTCAGCTCAAGCCTGCTCCCTTCACTCCATGCCACGCCTCCATTGTTTTCTCCACAGTAATCAGCCTTCATTCCTTGCACCTGTTCACCTGCATTTATAAGCTCAATGTCCACACCAACCAGTGCCGAATTATTAAACCTTCACGGTCCCTGATATTCATGCCATCCATGTTTCATGCCTGCACATCAAGCCTTGCTCTGAATTACAACTTCACGCCTGTTTCCTGGATGATCGCTTTGCTTGCGCCTTGACCTGGATTACTCTTTCTGCCCACGGCCACATATCTGGATTGCACCTGCCACGTACAGACTGAGGTTAGTGACTTTTACTATAATCACAGAATCCCCTCGTCCTTGCCACAGTCACTAACCTCTCTGTCTTTAAAGATCGGACTCCCGCCTTGGACCCTGACTCCAGCAGTCAGCAGCCAAATTAAAAAAAAATATTCTTGTTTTTGTACTCCTGGGTCTGGCTTATTCTGAATCCAAAACCCAAACGTGACACTTGTAGCATTTAAAGGGGAATTAAGCTGTTGAGTCAAACAAGGAAAATTTTGGAGAGAGTTGTGAAAGCTAGACTTAGACAAGAGGTAACAATCTGTGAGCAGCACTATGGTTTAATGCCAAGAAAGAGCACCACAGATGCCATCTTTG